CGCGGGTCCCCTCCCCCTCCCCGCCCCCTTCCGCCCCCGCCGTATTCCTGCGAGCCGCGGGACACGCGCTGGCCCAGCCTAACCCTCCTCTCTTGGGCCCCAAACCCCAAGCTCACAGTGCCTCTCAGCCTCTGAAAGCTGAACCCAAAGTCAGCACCCAGCCCCCTCACCCAACTTCTGCAGGAATGTCATGCACTCTCACCGTTGTCCCACCCCCTATGATTTCCTGCTCTCTCCATAGCTCACCTTCCCTTGTCCCCCAAGGACCTCTGCTTCTCCTTAAATCCTCCATGAACTCCTCCAACTCCCACCCCAAAGCTCACCTCGCTCCTCGTAGGGCTGTGCAGGCGCTGGGTCCCTGCGCTGGGAGAGCCACAGATGGTGACAGGTGACAGCTGTGCCAGGGATGGGAGAGTCTCCCCCGCTAGTTTAACACCATTCTCAGTGGGTGGGCTCCGGATCAGAAGTTTTTGTACCACCATGAAACTTGTCAGCAATGCAAATTTCCCACACCACTGGGCACGGTGGCCCCTCCCTGTAATCTCAGCACCCAGGAGGCTGAGGTAGGAGGATCATGAGAGTGGAAGCCAGCCTGAGGTACACAGTGACTTCAAGTCTGACCTGAGCTACACAGCAAGACTGTCTTTAAAAATAAAAAATAAAAAAAATTCCTACCCCAATCCAGACCTATAAAATCTGAATTTCTAAGAGTTTAGGGCAGACTTTTCCCCAGTAATTCTGATGGATGCTAATATTTGAACACTCCTGCTTTGGGACATATATACAAAACTAAACCAAAGGCCACACCTGAATAACTAAAATCCTGAGAAAGGAAAATACCCTCAAGCATAATCTAACAGAGCCATAGGCCTAGCTCCTGGATTGACCAAGAATCCCCACATTTACCCATGGAGTTCATCTGTCCACCTACAAGACCCCAGACCTCACCCTTGCTCAGGGAACCTCCAAGGGAGTTACTTCCTTCCCCTTGAAAGTGTCCCTGGATGGCCACTGCAGGTGCCTATGACCAAGAAAGAAAGGAGTCCCTGGGGCTTCCAGCAGTCTCAGGCCCTGAGTGAGTTAACCAGCCCCAGCCTGCAGGGAAGGAAGGAGGGGGCTGCCCATGCACGCTGGCCTGGGCCTTGACCTCTTGACCTTCCTATCCATCTTCCAAACTTGACCCCACCTGCTCTCCTTCAAACCACAGCCCATAAAGGCCAAGCACTCAATCTATCAAGCCCAGCAGCTTTCACTCCCAGAAGTCTCTGGAGGAGTTTTGTCAGCAACAAAGAAAATGAATTTTCATAATGAAAAGTCATCTTTTCCAAGTGGAGTTCCCAAACTTTATTCTCTTATCTTTAAAACTGTTGCCCAGTCTACATTCTATCTTTTTCACTTACATTTTTCAAATAAAACTTTCTATTTTGAGATATTTTTAGATTCATGTGTAGTTTTAAGATATAATACAGAGACATTCTGAGTACCCTTTTAACTCTGCACCCAAAATGGTAACACCTTGCAAAACTATAGTCCAGTATCCCCTCCCAGAAGTTGACTCTGGTAGTCAAGATAGGAAATATTTCTGCTAAAGTGTGGTGGTGTATACCTGTAATCCCAGCTACTTGGAAAGCTGAAGCAAGGAGACTGTTAGTTTGAGGCCAGCCTGGGCAATTTAGCAAGATCCTGCCCCCAAAAGTAAAAAGGAATAGGGAGGTAGCTCAATGATAGAGCATTTGCCTAGCATGCACAAAGCACTGGGTTCAATCCCCAGTACTGAAAAAAAAAAAAAAAAGAAAGAAAGAGAAAAGGAAAAAGGGTGAGGGGAACATTTCCATCCCCACAAAAAACTTTATGTTGCCCTTTCCTAGCCACGCCCACTTCCCTGCCCCTCCCACTCCTCTGTAACCCCTGGCAACCACTAATCCGGCTCCGTTTCTGTTCTTTGGTTATTTTAAGAGTGCTCTACAATTGGAACCATAAATATGTAATCTTTGGGAATTGGCTTTTTTTTCACTCAGGCATCTTTGGTGATTCATCCCCATCCTTGCATGGATCAACAGTCTGTTGCTTTTATTGCTGCGTAGTATTCCGTGGTGGTATGGATGAGCCAGTTTGTTTATTTGTGCAACCAATCAAGGACATCTGAGTTATTTTCAGTTTTTGGCTGCTGTGAATAAAGCTGCTATGAACATTGTGTAGTGGTTTTTGTGTGAACATATGTCTTCATTTCTCTGGGATGTCTCCAACTGCAGTTGCTGGTTGCATAGTAGTTGCATGTTCTGTTTTTCTTTTTCTTTTTCTTTTTTTCCTTTTTAAATGAAACTCCCCAACACTTTTCTAGGATGGCTGTAACATTTTACGTTCCCACCAGTGATGTAGAAATGGTCCACTTTCCTCACATTCTTTCCAGCATTTGATGTTGTCACTGCTTTTCTTTTCGTAAGCCATTCTGCTAAGTGTGTAGTAATAGCTCACTGTAGTATAAATTTGTACCAAGTGGCTTTGACACAGGACATCTCTTCATCATATGGGTAATTTGCTGTGTATCTTCTTTGTTTTTTGTTTTTTGTTTTGTTTTGTTTTGGTTTTTTTTGGTTTTTCTCTGGTACCGGGAACCGAACTCACGACCTTGCGCTTGCCAGGCAGGTGCTTTTGCCGCTGAGCTAAATCCCCAGCCCCGCTGTGTATCTTCTTTAATGAAATGTTTCTTCATTTTTTGGTCCATGTTCTAATTTGATTGTTTGCTTTTTTGATGTTGCATTTTGAGAGTTCTTTATATATTCTATATAGTAGTCCATTTTTGGGATATGTGATTTGAAAATATTTCCTCCATCTGTATCCTGCTTTTAAATCCACTTAACAAGATCTTTCACAGTGCAAAAAGTTTTAATTTTGATAGTCCAGATTGTCAATTTTTTCTTTTTATGCATCATGCATTTAGTGCCAATTTCACAAAGTCTGGATTTCCTTCTATGTTTTTTACTGATAGCTCTATAACTTAAAGTTTTACTTTCAAATCTGTGATCCTTTGGTAG